TTTTAAGCCACTAATCTCCCCATGCTATACTTACACTCCGCCATTGTTAGAATTACAGAATTGAGAGACCAGCAGATGGCGTAATGGTTACGTCGCTGGACTCCTACATGGCCAATCACAGTGTTTCCGAGGCTTGAAATTCACACCGGGTATGTGAGCATGCATGCCCAAAATCTGAGAGAAGAATGAAGGAGAAGGGATTGCGGGATGGCCATCACCTGGGAGGTGATTTCTCACTTCCTATCCCTCAGTCTCTCTTTCTCTGGTGAGCACACACACTCTATAGCAAAAATCTCTTTAAAAAAAAAATACAGAATTAAGGAAAAGAAAAGATATGATGGTGGAGGTAAATAGGGCTCTAATCCCCCACACGCACCCGCCATTAGCTCCAGTCCTCACTAGCTGTGTCTGTGGAACAGTTGCCTAAAAACCCTCATGCCAAGGTCTGGGCATCCTGCCCAGGAAAGGTGCCCAAGATGCGGTTTCTTTACTGGTGTCCTGGAAGCACTACTGTGTCCCTGGTCAATTCCATTCAGTGGATTCTGAGTAACTACTGTGTATACGGTGAGACAACATGAAAATAGCCGTGGACTTGGAGCCCGGAGGTCTGAGTCTATGGCCAGATTCTACCACTTAAACAGATACGGTCTGAGGTCAGTCACTTAATATTTTCTTCGTGGGTCTGTATCTGTGAAATAGGTAACACCGAGCATCAAATGCCAGTTAGTGAACCTTGTTATATACTCATTCATTATTTCCTTCTGATCTTCCTGTGGATTAGACTGTAGGAGGGGCGTGGGAAATGGCAGAGAGCAAGAAAGAGGGAATCAGGGAAAAAAGAAAGAAGTAAAACAGTTAAGAAACACAAAATGGAAAATTATCTGTTGAAGATAATAGGTCTAATAATATCTTTGATTGGGCAATATTCAGTGTATTCTGGATGGGAAAATTCATTTTGTATGCTGTAATGATGTGCAGTTTAAAAAAACAACATTTTTTAACTAGTAGACATTACTTCAACTCAAAGATAAATACAGTTTTAATATCTTAAAATAGCACTACATTATAAATATGTACTGCCTGGGCTACAGACACAAACTTCCCAGCTACCAGCTACCTTGATTATTCACACAATGATTATATCTTTTATAGATGAGTATTTGTTACTCTTAAAAAATCTTATTTTTGGAGACCAGCAGGTGGCATGGTGGTTAAGGCGCTGTACACTCCCACGTGGCCAACCACGGTTCGAATCCCAGACCTGATGGCTTTCTCACTTTCTCTCTCTCATTCTATCTCACTGTGAGTCTTGCTCTGGTCAAATTAAAATAAAATAAATGAATGAATAAATAAATAATATTTCTAAGAAAGGAAAACCCCATGTGTAATGTTAAAAAAAAAAACTTATTTTTGACTGGATTGAGACTTAGAAGTTAAAGCTCTCAGAGAAGACAGCCTGCAACCCCTGGCAATCTGATTGATGTTTTGGTGTTTTTCTTTAGCCTCCTTCATTCTCTTGGCCCAAAGTTTAGCATATTCTGCTGCCTCTTTCTTATTTTTCTTAGTACATTATTTCTTGAGAGCAATATGCCAGGACTTGTGTTGCAGGACACGTGCAGTTGCAAGATGCTGGATCTTAGGTGTTTTGATCTGAGGTTTCTAGCCTTCTTTGTTTAAGGGCTTTCTTATAACATACTTCTTTATTTAAGGGCAGACATCCTCTTCTTTAGAGATCAAAAAATGCTCAGATTCTGCTCGCTCCATTAGGCCCCTAGAGGTTGGGGAGGAGATATTCAGCTTCATTTTTAAGCCACTAATCTCCCCATGCTATACTTACACTCCGCCATTGTTAGAATTACAGAATTGAGAGACCAGCAGATGGCGTAATGGTTACGTCGCTGGACTCCTACATGGCCAATCACAGTGTTTCCGAGGCTTGAAATTCACACCGGGTATGTGAGCATGCATGCCCAAAATCTGAGAGAAGAATGAAGGAGAAGGGATTGCGGGATGGCCATCACCTGGGAGGTGATTTCTCACTTCCTATCCCTCAGTCTCTCTTTCTCTGGTGAGCACACACACTCTATAGCAAAAATCTCTTTAAAAAAAAAATACAGAATTAAGGAAAAGAAAAGATATGATGGTGGAGGTAAATAGGGCTCTAATCCCCCACACGCACCCGCCATTAGCTCCAGTCCTCACTAGCTGTGTCTGTGGAACAGTTGCCTAAAAACCCTCATGCCAAGGTCTGGGCATCCTGCCCAGGAAAGGTGCCCAAGATGCGGTTTCTTTCCTGGTGTCCTGGAAGCACTACTGTGTCCCTGGTCAATTCCATTCAGTGGATTCTGAGTAACTACTGTGTATACGGTGAGACAACATGAAAATAGCCGTGGACTTGGAGCCCGGAGGTCTGAGTCTATGGCCAGATTCTACCACTTAAACAGATACGGTCTGAGGTCAGTCACTTAATATTTTCTTCGTGGGTCTGTATCTGTGAAATAGGTAACACCGAGCATCAAATGCCAGTTAGTGAACCTTGTTATATACTCATTCATTATTTCCTTCTGATCTTCCTGTGGATTAGACTGTAGGAGGGGCGTGGGAAATGGCAGAGAGCAAGAAAGAGGGAATCAGGGAAAAAAGAAAGAAGTAAAACAGTTAAGAAACACAAAATGGAAAATTATCTGTTGAAGATAATAGGTCTAATAATATCTTTGATTGGGCAATATTCAGTGTATTCTGGATGGGAAAATTCATTTTGTATGCTGTAATGATGTGCAGTAAAGTAATCTAAAATAAAATTTTAAAAACAAATTAAAGAATAGAAAGAAGTTGTAGGAAACATAAAATCTGTTTAAGTCACAGTTCTGGTCCAGAATTGATCATCTCAAGAAAGAGATACTGGCCTAGCTCCTGGGACAATTTTGTATATGTGCTTTGGGATGACTTGAGGAAATCCACCCCAGCACTGAATCTAGGTCTCTGTAGTACAAGCAGAATTTTTTTTTGGAGAGGTTTTTCGCTATAGGGTGAGTGCGCTCACCAGACAGACAGAGAGAGACATAGAGAAAGAAAGCGAGAAATCACGCCCCAGGGGGGATGGTCACGCCGCAATCCCTTCTCCTCCATTCTCCTCTCGGGATCTTGGACACGCACACACACGCGCCCGGCGTGAGTTCTAAGCCACCGGGTCTGGGATGCGAACTACGGTTGACTACGTGGGAGTCCAGCGATATAGCCATTACGCTAACTGCTGGTTCCCGAAATTATGTTCAATAAGCTCCCCAGGCAATTCTGAAGCATCCCATTCCAAAGATGACCTCAGTCCTCCTCAACCCCATGAAAACTGGCATTTTAACAGAAACTCCTGAAATATAAGACCTTATAGACACTTCAGGACTTACGATATACCTTATATTTTAAACTTCAGGTACTGGAGATTAGATGGAAAGAGAGGAAGTCTCTCCCTCCCTACCACCTACCACCTTTTCTTCCATTATATGATACATAAACTCATGAAGCAAATTTTATGTCCCTTTTTCATGCTGCTAATCACTTTCTACATTGCATTAGAAATTATACATAATTTATTCTCTCCATGGTTTTGTCTCTCAAAGTCCATGGCACAAAGCAATGAGAAATAAATATTGAAGTGAACTGATTGATGAAAAAGATGCAATTAAAATATTCATTCTTCCCAACTCCCACAACTGTTGAGATGGAGAAGGAAGAGGGGATTGGACTTGAAAGAGGCAAGGTGATGTCTTTGAAGCTGCCCTGGTCAACACAAAATGTTTTGACTCATGGAAGACCATTTCCTTGGGTGAGAATCAGTGCCCATTTCCCTGTCTCTCCAGGAGAGGAATGAATGCTGAGATCTTGAAATGCCTTGCTCTTTTCTGCCAAATGACAAACACACCACATAAGATGCTGATGGAGGCTGGTTTACATACTTTTAAAAAGGAAAAAAAATAGTAATCCAAGTAGGTTGTCCTCCAGTGGCACTAAAGGCTTCTAAGAGCCCTGGCCTCATGACTTCCGGTAGGCAGTTTGGTGCTACTATCTCCTGGACGCAGCGAGCTCTCTCATATTGTGTCATCAGGAACGTCACGATACATTTTTGCATAGAAAAATATGCCATAACTCTCCCAACAACTGAATAGTTTGAGAAACTGAGTTTATAGTGGGGCGATGTCTAAAACCCAGAAACTTGATTGAACTTAGGAAATGGAAAAGCAGAATCAGTGGAACCAAGAGCTTATTCGAAATATCCCCTATGGCATTTGGAAGGTTTTCTGAGTTTGAATTGCCTGCTTGGAATCCTGTAAACGAGAAATCTCGGAGAAAAATGGAAGGGGGAAAAAAGCCATAGGCAGCTATCAGTGGAGAAGTTACCCAAAGATTTCTAACTCTTGAGTGTCTGAGACAAATATATATATATATATAGTAGAAAACAATAGGTGAGAGAACAGTAACGCTAGAAGATAGAGATGCTGGCCTCTTACTAAAGGCAGATACTCAGGTGTATTTCTTAAATCCATTGGAGGCATCAGTCCCATCAGCCCACGCAATTTCGGGGCCAGGTTGCCAGGATCTCTTAGGATTTCACAGAGGACCATGTTCTGTGAGCGGCAAGAATGCAAAGCTGGATCTCGTGTGGTGAGTATGGAGAGGTCAATTCATGATCATTCAAGTCTTTGAGAGTCTCCCCAGATCTGCTGTTACTGAGCAAAGAGCTTCACTAGGAACAGGTAGCCGTCACTTGCCCTGAGCGTCAGTTGAGCTGTTTAGTTGAGTGATTCACAAGAACATTAACAACCTGAATTAAACATAAATATACATCTAGGAGGTGTCAGCATCACTTGTATAGCACAGGAACACACAAAGCTTTCAAAAAGCTCATGGAAAATATATGCTATGAAAAAATGATATATGGATATCTTTTTTTTTCACCAAAATAAACTTTAATTCCATTTTCCCACAAAATATTTGAAGTCCCCTCTTAAGTATATTTGCCAGCTCTCTGCCTGGAGGGTCTGATTCAATAGGACTGTGGTAAGCAAGAACATATACTTTTAAAACTCCCCACATGATTCTGAGGCCCAGCTAGGTCTCAGACTCACTGGTGTCCGTAATTAGCACCGTCCAGGGGTAGCCTAGATATGGGACAACCTAAGGCTTCTTTGTAGTGGTTACTAAATACGTAGGGCATTCCCATTCTCCAAGCCATTTTTAACATTGAGAAGTACTGCAGGTAGTGAGCTAAGTGTTGTAGACATGTTTACGTGCTTTCCGCACACATGCACACACACTAGTGATAGAAAGAAAAGCTCGATTTGATTCACCCGGTTGCTAGCCAGATTCTTTCCATCGCTGAACTTCCTCGGGGTTCTTTGAAGTCAACAATTACTTTGTTCTCAGAGGAGTCATTCTGTGGCAAAGGAAAATGTCGCAAGTTTAGCAATGTATTAAGACTTTCCAAATCTGGATCACTTCAAAATATTTATCTGTATGTTGTTTATCTTTTTTCAGTACTTAGACTTCATTCTTTCTAATAACCAGAGGACAATCTATTGACATTAGTCACTGAGAATGCATCGTGGACACTAAGTGTGCTTGCGGTGGTAACAAAATGAAGTTATCAATAATTGGCTTCCTTATGGATTTCCCCTGTCTCCTCTCAGAAGTACAGATTTAGGGACAGAATAGAGCCCTTAGCACAGTGCTTGAATCAGAATCATTCCTCAGTGAATGTAAGTTATGCATCTCATTATTCTTTTTTCATGAATTCATAACCCAACCTCCCTTATCCTGATAGGGATGTTCTGGGCAAGTATTTTATACACACCCTATGCCTGTCTTCTAGATAGGCACTGAACTCCTGTTTTATCCCACATATGTTTGTTTTGGTAACATCTTCATTCACAGTTGAAACATGTGGCTTTTTAATTTTTTTTTTCTCTTATATTCTCCATTGACAGTAAACCACAGACCCTAATGTTAATTTCCTGCATTGTCATAGACTCTTAAGATGCAGGGATTTCACTTTTTAATGGTTCCTCCTCTCTTTGTGCAGACCCATCCCCATAGCCGTGCCCACCGCTGTGTCTGCAGGAA